AATTGTGGTTTGAATCAGTCTTCATCTTTTAGAGAGAATTTTTCAGAGTCTCTGATGGGAGAATAAGGGTGCCTAGAGAAAAAGAGGAGTCTGTGAGTTGGCAGGTGGTGTCGTGGTTAAGGTGTCAGATTCCCACATAGCTAACCACAGTTCAAGTCCTGGACCTGGTAGCTTGCTTTCTCAATTTCCCTCCCTCTCTTTCTCTGTCTCTGGTCAAATTGAAGAATAAGAATAAACAAAATAAGATAAATAATTCTTAAAAAAAAAGGAGAGTCTATAGGGACCTGCAAAGTAGTTGTTTGGCTTTATTTTCTTTATCAGACCTCCTGCACTTAATGCCCTCCTTTCATCCCTTCCCCTGAATTACCAATTTTGTTTTGTTTTACACTTACCAGAATACATTTAAACACTACTTGGATTTGAAACTGCCTTTGCAGTCTACATCACATTTACTCAGAGATTACATAACTTACTTTTTTTTTTTTTTTCTTGGAGAGGTCTTTTGTTTGTTGGTTGTTTTTTTGCTATAGGGCGTGTGCACTCACCAGAGAGAGAAACAGAAAGCGAGAAATCACCCTCCCCCACCCCCCCCCAGGGGAGACGATCACGCCACACACAATTCCTTCTCCTTGATTCTCTTCTCAGGATCTTGGACATGCATGCACATGTGCCCAGTGTGAGTTTAAGCCACTGGGTCCAGGACTCGAACCACAGTTGACTACATGGGAGTCCAGCAACATAGCCATTAGGCCAACTGCTGGTTCCATAACTGTTATATTCTGACAGTGAGTTTAAGAAATGGTAACCCTGGGCCAGCTAGTGACATGGTGGTTAAAGTGGCTGGATCCCATCTTAATGACTGTGAGGTTCGAGTCCCAGACCCAGTGGCTGGGGAATGCTTGATGATTTCTCCTGCCTCTGTCCCTCTCTCCAGTGAGCACATGCACCTTATAGCAAAATTTAAAAAACGCAAAGAAATGGTATCCTTGTCTTTTTGCCTCAAGGATATTTTGACTATACCTTTCTGAATACAGAGTTTTTAAGCAAAATTACACCAACCTTAATGAGTTTTCATCAAGAAAACATTTTTAATTTGAACTTTAAAGACATTAATTTCTTGAACAGTTTTTCATAGAACATTGTTAACATTTTATTTTATTAAAATAATTTTTATCAGAATCAGCTTTTTACTTTGAAGAGTACTACCTTATTATTCAGTTTTGTCTTTTTTTTTTAAATAAAAGAACATATAGTATTATATTTTGTTATGTTTTAATGTCCACTATGAGGAGACTTCAAAATGTTCCTGGAAAAATGGTCTTAAAAGTACAAATTTATTTTGGTGCAAAAAATAAAAAAAAATAAAAAAATTCCATGCAGCCATGCTTTTTAATGTACATATGTAATACACACACACACACACACACACACACACACACACACTTTGTCCCCGGGGGTTTTGAAGACCTCTCATAGAAATATACTGTGAACTGGGGCCAGCAGGTTAGGTATGGTGGCCAAAGACGCTGGACTCCCACATGGCTGAATGTGGTTCAAATCTCGGACCTGGCAGCTTGCTTTCTCTCTCACTCTGTCTGTCTGTCTGTCTCTCTCTCTCTCTTTGTGTCTTTATCTGGTCAAATTAAAACAAATAATAATAAAAATAAATAAAGTTTAATTAAAAATATATATACTGTGAACCATGTATGATTTTAATTTTTTTTAGTGACCTCATTAAGATAGTAAAAGACACAGGGGAAATTAGTTTTGATAATTATTTTATGTTACCCAGAACATCCATTTTATTATTTGACTTATAATTGGTATAAAAAATACTAATTTTAGAGGAAACTAGGCAGGGGAAGAGAAATCTCGGAAAGGGAAGGTAAGGGTAGGGTGGGTAAGTTTGACTTCTGTTTCTCTGCTCCCTTTCTAGTTTGGGGGAGGGTTGGAGGGGGATGGAAGAGAGGACCTGGCCCATCTTTACTGTAGCTCTCCTGCTTTAGCTGGTGAATGGATGGTGAACTCAGAGCAGAGGCAAGAGATTAGCTTATTTATTTGCTGTTCTTTTTCTTTTACTGGTTCAGACTTTAGCAGTAGTCCTGTTCTCTTTTTCACTCTCTCTTTTAATATCCAAGTTTAAATTCCTCACTGGAATGACAGGAAGGGAAAAGTTTGTAGTAGATTTTCCAAATACAAACCTTGCTTTTATAATATGGTTATGGTAACTATCTCTATTTTGGTAAAGTCAGCCTATTATATGAATTACCTTTTGCAATTTAGATTTTTGCAATTTAGAAAAGCCACAAGGCATTGCAAACAGTTTAGCTAGACATTTTATATACACATTTAGTACTGTAAACCAGAATTTTAGGCATTGTACAGAAGTGTTGTACAGGACAGAAAACACAAAGCAGGCAGACCTGGGCAATCTAAGGCTCAGAGAAAACTTCACTGAGAGGAGTAAGGGAGTTGGAATGGAAACCTGGAGGGTAGGCAGGAGTTAATCAGCTGCACCAATGGAAAAGAGCCTTCTAGGCAGAAGAAACAATTCTTTCAGTAGGAGTCTAGAGTCTGGAAATATACCATGCGTTTATGGTGAATTGATTTTTGTAAGGGTGCCAAAACAATCGTCTTCCACCGTGTAGTGCTGGAATAACTGGATGTCCACAAACAGAAGACTAGAGTTGGACCTTACACTATGCACAAAAAATTAACTCAAGGTGGATCATACCAGGGGGCTTTCAAAAAGTTAGTGGAAATGGCATGTCCTGAAAGAAAAAAAGCATGAATTTCAAATTTTTTTTGCACTAAAATGAATTTGTACTTTAATCCCACTTGTCCGCAGACTTTTGAAGTCCTGTCCTCTTGTACCTTTAAATATTAAAACTATAAAAGTCTTCAAAGAAAACATAAGAGTAAATCTTCATAATGTTGAGTTAGGTAATAGTTTCTTGGATAATGACACCAAAAGCACAAACAACAAAAAGAAAAATAAATTTGACTTCATTAAAATGAAAAACTTTTATGCTTCAGCAGATACCATCAGGGAAGTAAAATAACAGCCTACAACATGGGAAAAAAAGGTTGCACGTTATATATCTGTTAAGGGATATCCAGCTACTACTAGGAAAATGCAGCATAACTCAAAGAGGAACTTTGTAGAAAGAGTCTATAGTCTAGTGTTTGGATATGAATGTTTCTTTCTTTCTTTTTTTTTTTTTTTTTTGGAGAGATTTTCGCTATAGGGTGCGTGTGTTCGCCAGACAGACAGAGAGAGACATAGAGACAGCGAGAAATCACCCCCCAGGGGGGATGGTCACGCCGCAGTCCCTTCTCCTCCATTCTCTCGGGATCTTGGGCACACACGCACATGCGCCCGACGTGAGTTTTAAGCCACCGGGTCTGGGATGCGAACCGCAGTCGACTATGTGGGAGTCCAGCGACATAGCCATTACGCTAACTGCTGGTTCCCGGATATGAATGTTTCTTGAAAAGTAGAACTTTGCTACAAAGTGGTCTTACCATTTCTTTCAGAATGAAAATGTATTTAGCTTCAAATTGGTAAGCATCTCTTTCAATTAACCTATCCATTTTTTAATTAACAGGTGTAAGTTCCATGTGCAACTAAGAGCTTATTAGTCCAGGAATTATTGGCCTTGTGACATGGCTGAATTTATGAACAGACCTCTCCTGTTGTAATTCTAGACTTTTCCTTTAATACTTTTCAGCTTCCAACTGTTAAGATTTTACAGATTTTTGCTTCCTTTTTATTTTCTATTTTAGACTTTTCCTTTAATACTTTTCAGCTTCCAACTGTTAAGATTTTACAGATTTTTGCTTCCTTTATATTTTCTATTTAATTAAAAAAATGATTATTTATGAAAGAGAACCTGTATTTGTGCATATGAGAGAAGGGGGGTAAGAGGGTACCCTTGACAGGGTCTTATCGTACCGCTATCTCCGTTCCACGTCTCTAGCTCATCGGGATTTCAGGTGTTCATACACCCAACACATTTTCCAGTCAATTGGTGATCGGAGCCTGCAGCTAGTCATATGGCTTCTAGCACTGAAGTTCATTACGCCACTGACAACACCACCAAGTCTTCAGACTGTTTCCTTTTTATTTATTTTTAATTAATGAGTTAACTTTTGGTTTTTACAATAGGGCACATGCATTCACTGGAGAGAGAGGCAGAGATAGTGAGAAATCACCTCCTTGGGGAATGGCCAGGACACAATCCCTTCTTCTCTCTGGATTTTGGGCATGCACGTACACACACCTGGTGTGATTTTCAAGCCAGTAGGCCCAAGATTCCAACTGCGATTCACCATGTGGGAATCCAGTGCCTAAACCATTGCCACCTGCTGATTCACGCCTCCGTTTTTAAATAAGAATTTTAAGATAAAATCGTCTAAGCACCTTTAGTAAATCAGTCATAAATTATACTAACTAGATTGTTATATTAGAGCCAGTGATCTGAATTGCATTTTGCAATTTTCTTACCTCAGAATACTTTGCCCTCTGCTGCATCCTGAGCCATGATTATAGGTTGTGTTAGATACTCTTCTTAGCTCATGGAAAGCAGTCCAGCCAGGAAAATGGAAAAAGGAAAATCTAACATTTTTCTATTTCCTTTTATTAAATAAGAGTGGGTCTGGAAATGTTTCATACAGACAGGGAAGCAGTGATAAAAAAATGTCTTCTGTGCTAGGAAGTTTCTAAAGGGGATGAAAATCTTTCTTGGTTTTTTAAATTTTCTGTTAAAGAATCAATTTCTTTACTGGGGCTAAACTATGTAAACTAATGCATACTCTGTTTTCTAGGTAATTTTGTATCAGAGATCCCAGTTCCCTGGACTAAAGAAGAGACAGAAGTAATTGAGTATTCCCAGTTAGAATAAGTTCAGATTTCATAGTGAAGATCTCGTAAATCTCATTTCATATTCAAACTATTTTAATCTGTTAATGGCCATCTTTATTCACATATTTTAAAACAGATGACCTCCGACAAGAAATGCTGGATGATGCACAAAAGAAATTGATGAACTTAGTAAACAGCACAGAAGGAAAAGTGGACAAGTATGCTTTTGTCTTTATCTCTTATATGTTCTGTAGAGCTTGGTTTTATGGTAAAAGCAACTTCTACATGTAGACGGTCATGTGTTTAACTTTTTAAGAAGTCTTTTCTTTAGCTTATGTAACGCGGAGATGTAATTAGTTTTAATGAGGGATCAGAATAATTTATCCTTTTCTTTTTTAAGGTAGATTTTTTTTTTAATAACTCATTCTGAAAACCACTATAAGTGAAAACATCACCCCGATAAGTACTTACGAAGAAACTTTTATTTTTACCATTCTTTTTTGCTTCTTTTACTGTCATTAAATGCACATTTCTAGCTCAAATGTAATAGGTCTGAAACTTAGGTATATGTGTTGTAATATCTCATTTAATATTTTTATTATTTAGGTATTAGCAAATTTTTAATAAATGTGAGTGGAAAAATAGAAGCATAATAGTTAAGCATAAGAACAGTCATCATCATTTAAATAACTGCTTCAGGTGAACATCAGCCCAGTCAAGCACTGACAGCTCCTAATGAGGATCCACCTCAGTCAGAGATTGGGTTGAAGAAAGTGGGTAGCTAATAAGGTGTTTTGAAAGGCATACACTTTGGGTTGTTTGAAATAGTCTTAATTAGATTAGTCAACTTTTTTTAAATTTCTATTTCTTTTATACATTCAATCACGTTACTTAGCTTACAGAATGAATATTCCATCATGTGTACATTTCTCACCAGTCCAGTTCACCATGCTAGAAAGTTCTCTCTTTTATATTACTTTATAATGCTTTATTCCTTAGTATTTTTTATAATTATTGTTTAAATGTAATTCCTATGTTTCATGTTCAGTGTTTGGGACATCCAGTGTTGAGTTAGTGAACTATTGTCTTCATTTTCATAGAGTTCTAATGAGAAACCTCTTCATTGGACATTTTCACACACCAAAAAATCAGCGTCATGAAGTGTTACGATTAATGGGAAGCATCCTGGGTATCAAGAGGGAGGAAATGGAGCAGGTAACCTTCATGAAAACTGTTTTGAATACTGTTTTTTTAGGTTTTTGCCATAGAGCACATGTGCCTGCCAGAAACAGAGAGAGAAAATGAGAAATCACGCTCCAGAGGGGAATGGCCACACTGCAATCCCTTCTCCTACATTCTCCTCTTAGGATTGTGGGAAGGCACACACACACACACACACACAGAGCGAGCATGATTTTCAAGCAGTCAGGTCTGGACTTGAACTGTGGTTGGCCATGTGGCAGTCTTGTGCCTTACTCATCATGCCACCTGCTGGTTTCTTGAATACATTTTTAAACTTAAATAGCAGCATTATAGAATTTGCTGTATATAACTTTTACTGAAACTAATTTTCACTATAATAAAGAAATGGAGTAATTTTGTACTACATTAAAGAAGTGAATTTGTTCAATTTGTATGATATTAGTTTAAATGTAACTTATAAACCATGTCATATGAGAATATTGAAATTTTGAGTTTTGACAACCCCTAAAACTTTGAGATGAGAATTGGACCTGAAAAACTGTGAATTGCTACTATCTGAAACATGGTAAAAGTGATTCTTGTTTTTCTTTTCTTATATTGATAATATTTTTCTGTTTTAAAATAATGTTTCAGTTGTTAAATCAAGATCATGGTGGTGTTACTAAGTGGATGACTGGATGGCTTGGAGGAGGATCAAAAAGTGTCCCCAACACACCTTTGAGACCAAATCAGCAATCTGTGTTTAACAGTGTAAGAACTGATTTTGTATTTGCTCAATATGAATAGTGAAATTATTTTATTACACTCATTTGAAAAATTTGATTTGCGTTTTACACTATTTATACAACCACTTATTTTTGGAATTGTGGCTCCTGAGAACCTAGAATGGTGATTAGCATATGGATAACAAGCCAGTTTTAATAATTTTATTTCATTTAAATTAATTAGCTAAGTTTTTCATTTTTTCGGGGGTTGGGTGGTTTGCCATAGGCATGTGAGCTCACTGGAGAGACAGAGATGGTAAGGGGGAAAGTGAGAAATCACCCCTCGGGAGAATGGCCGTGTTGCAGTCCCTTTTCCTTCAGTCTCCTTTTGGGATTTGGGGCACACACACACACATATGTGCTCATTTTGAGTTTCAAGCTGCTAGATCAGGGACTCGAACCACCACACCACCTACCTGCTGGGCCAGCATTCCATTATTTTAATCTGGTAATGTTAACTAGCAGTCTTTTTGTTACATTCATTGATTGGGTCTTAATTTAGAAAATTGTGTTTAATATTTCTTTCCCTCTGATAAAATTTTTTACATCTATTTGAGCAATTTTTTAAATGGTAATTGCCGTTGACAGCAAAAATGTGTGTTTATCTGTTGACTAATTCTGTCTATAAATTGTTTGAAATTAGTGTTATTGAAGATTATTGATTAAATTGTTAAATTTTTTGTAAGAGCCATATGAGTAATGTGCTTCCATTTTCATTGGTTCATAAAGCTGATCAAATGGCACAGTTAGTTTTTATTATTTAATTAGACTATTTGGTGTATTTTCTAAGTTGTAGTAAATATGATCTTATTACCTAGCCTAATATAACCAAAATATTTTTTATTAGTCTTTTTCAGAACTTTTTGTGAAATTTCTGGAAACAGAATCTCATCCATCTGTTCCACCACCAAAGCTTTCTGTTTATGACATGAAACTTCTAGATTCACCTGGAAGGAGAAAACTAGACACAAATGTATCAGACAGTTTTAAAGGTAAAACCAGATATTTTTATTTACTACAATTATAAAAACTGAATGTTTAATTATTTTTCTTTTTAAGGATTTTGCCATAGGGCATGTGTGCTCTACAGAGAGAAACAGCAGTGAGAGGGAAGGTAAGAAAACACCCCCCCAGGGATGATTTGCCACAGTCCCTTTGCCTATATTCTCCTCCTGGGATTTTGGGTATACACGTATACCTGGTGTGCTTCAAGCCACCAACTCTGGGACTTGAACTGTGGTCAGCCATTTGTGAGTCCAGCACCTTAACCACCGTGCCACCTGCTGGCCTGTTTAATTTTTTTTAATTGCTCCATGTACTGTCCAGTGACACAGAGAGGGAAGGAGAAAGCACCGCGCAGTGAGACATGGTCATGCCTCAAATCCCTTCTCTTTCATTTTTTTTATCTCGTTTGGATTTTGGACATAATATATACACATGCCCTAAGCTGTCAGGGCTGGGATTTCAACTGTGGTCCATCATGTAAAATTGGGTTCTCTTAACTACTAGGCTATAGGGATGGCTGAATATTTGATTTATGATTATACTTTACAGTGATCTCAACTAAATTTTTAGTGTTCTTTTTTTTTTTGAGAGGTTTTCACTATAGGGTGCATGCGCCTGCCAGACAGAGAGAGACATAGAGACAGAAAGCGAGAAATCACCCCCCAGGGGGGATGGTCACGCCGCAACCCCTTCTCCTCCATTCTCCTCTCGGGATCTTGGGCATGCACGCACACGCGCCCGGCGTGAGTTTTAAGCCACCAGGTCTGGGATGTGAACCGTGGTTGACTACGTGGGAGTCCAGCGACATAGCCGTTACGCTAACTGCTGGTTCCCTAGTGTTCTTGAAAAAGTGTAAATGATTCCTTCTAAAATGCCAGTAAGGCATCAAATTTTTGCCTTCACATAGTCTTGCGGTAATCTGATATTTAAGTGATTTAGATTATTTTAAACAGTGTGAATATACTTTGTGTATTTTTCCCTTTGTATATCAGAATAATTCTTGCTACTTTAAATTCTGGAGGTGGTTGTGAAATGTTTAAACCTTTGCTTGATGTCCTGTGTTTCCTTTCTCACTGGTGGTGATTTTACTAATCAGGGTTAGATATGTGGTTTAGAGTTTGAGAAGGGTTCTTTTCCCCTTTGAAAATCTAAGTATTACTTTACGCTCAATAACCAAACCTTGGCATATTGGTAATACATGTAAGTATTGTTTAGTAAACTGACTTAGAGCTTCAAGAATGTTTTAAATTGACAGGTCTACCTGGAAGTGAGTGGTTGGTAGTTGTAGACATGTGTCCATATTTTGTATTCCACTGGGTTGTACAGGCCTTATTTACGTTCATATCACCTATATTGGCATGCAGTAACATTTCTTTTTTTAAAATAACGGTTTATTTCATTTTATTTATTTTTATTATTATTTTTAAATATGATACAGGGCACACATGCTCACCAGAGAGAGAGAAAAGAAAACAGAAAAAGTGAGAAAGCAAGCCATGAGGTCCAGGACTTGAACTGTGGTCAGCCATGTGGGAATTTAGCACCTTAACCAATGTGCTACCCACTGGCCCTGTAGTAACATATCTTTCTTTTCCTTTCTTCTTTTTTTTTTTTAAAGAATTATTTAATTTAATTTAATTATTTTTTAATTTGACCAGAAAGGGACAGAGTAAGAGGAAGGAGTGAGAGAGAGAGAGAGGGAGGGAGAGAGAGAGGAAGTGAGAAAGCAAGCCACCAAGTCCGGGACTCAAACCGTGGTTGTCCATGTGGGAGTCCAACACCCTTAACCACCATGCCACTTGCTGGTCCCACCTGCAGTAACATTTCTTGAATTGAAATAGAATTATAATCCATTAGACAATAAATAGAATCATTTCTAGGCTTTTTTCTTTTTTTTTTTCTATAGGGTGTAAGCACTTGCCAGAGAAAGAGAGATACAGTGAGAAGGAAAGTGAGAAATCACCCTACAGAGGGATGGCCACTCAGCAATCCTTTCTCCTCCTGGGATTTTGAGCATACATACACACACACCCAAAGGGATGGCCACACCCCAATCCCCTCTCATTCATCTTCCCTCTAGATTTTGGGCATGCATACACATCCCCAGCATGAGTTTCAAGCTGCTGGGTCAGGGACTTGAACTGTGGTCAGCCCTGTGAGAGTCCAGTGATATAACCAGTATGCCACCTGCTGTTCCTATATTTTTATTTTAAAAAAAGAATTATTTTATTTTATTATTATTGCTACTTCTTAATTTGACCAGAGAGAGAGAGAGAGAGAGAGAGAAAGTGAGAAAGCAAGCCTTCAGGTTCGGGATTAGAACCATGGTCAGCCATATGGGAATTCAGTACCTTAACCACCACACCATCTGCTGGCCTCCTGTATTTTAATATAGATAACATGTTTGCTAATTGGATCATAAAGGTATAAGTTATTATAGACTGGTTTTTTTTTTTTTTTTCGAGAGGTTTTTGCTATAGGGCGCTTGTGCTCACCAGAAAGACAGAGGGAGACAGAGGGGTAGAAAGAAAAAGGGGATGGTCACGCCACAATCCCTTCTCCTCCATTCTCCTCTTGGGATCTTGGGCACGCACACACACGCGCCCGGCATGAGTTCTAAGCCACTGGATCTGGGATGCAAACCGTGGTCGACTATGTGGGAATTCAGCAACATAGCCATTACGTTAACTGCTGGTTCCCTATACTTTTTTTTAAAGAGGTTTTTGCTATAGGGCCCGTACACTCACCAGAAAGAAAGACAGAGAGACAGAAAGTGAGAAATCACCCCCAAGGGGGAATGGCCACGCCGCAATCTCTTCTCCTCCATTCTCCTCTCAGGACCTTGGGCATGCACGCACACGTGCCTGTCGTGAGTTTAAGCCACCGGGTCCGGGACTTGAACCTCAATTGACTACTTGGGAGTCCAGTGACATAGCCATTACACCAACCACTGGTCCCCAGTTATTATATACTCTTAAGTTATAGTACCTGTCAAATTCTAAGATTTGGATAAAATAAATACTTTCTATTCTGTTAAGGAACTTTAGTTATTTAGACAAATATTTCTATGTTTTTAGAACTTTAATAGAAAGTAGCAATGCTTATCTGTTGTTTAGATAAAAGGTTTAGCTGCTAAATCTATTTAAAAATTTTGACTTTAAGAGGTTTAAAAGACATTAATTATAAACCAAATAGTTATTCCAATAAAAATGACTTGTATCAGCCTTCTATAGAGAAATAATCTGATTGAGAATTGTTTCCGAACCTTCAAATGCCTAAAAGATGATCAGGTAACAATGTATGCATATATTTTCCTAGTAGTAAATCCATATTATTTCTAATATCATTGTAATACGGGTGCCAGTATTCTTCAAGACCATTATAATTATTTGGGGTGAAACTTAAGTTTTCAAATTCTTCGTCCTTCAAGTGGATAAGTAAAGAATTTGCCTTGCAACATAGACAGCATCTTTTAAAAAGCTAGTGTTCTCAGTTATACAACTGGTGTTTAAATTAAAGATAACAGTGTTAATATATTAATAAAGTATTAGATACTCATTCCAATAGTGCTCTCCCTTCATTCTTTCATTTTTTTTGTCTTATTTCTAGTTCTCTTTCACCTTTTCATATTTGAGACACCCTGCTTATGGGATCCAGAACCCAGCAACATAAGAATTAAATTTATTTGAAGGCCAAATCTGTAAACTTAAAGTGCATTGTTTTTATCAGAAAATTTCAGATTACCGAGAGTAAACTTTAATCAGATTTTAGTAATAAAATTAATCTGTGTGTCTAGAAATTGAGGCCCATTTGTGCTCCCATTTTGAATTAAAAAGGGCCTAGGCTGACTCTGAGGCATATGGTTATAACAGCTGATCTCACTTTGCTGACCCCACGACTTGAGTCCTGGACTTGGCAGTTTGAAAAATTTGCTGGTCATGTGGGTATTGTGTGTGCCCAAAACCCTGACCGAATGGAGAAATGGAGGAAAGGGGGTTGCAGCAGGACCGTGCCCCATACAGGGGGCTTTCTGCCTTGTGCTGTCTTTCTGTCCTTCTCTTTGTCTCCCTCTGGCAAGTGCAGGCACCCTCTTGAAAAGCTGTCAAAAAAAAAAAAATCCCCTAAAATGTGCTACATACCAGTGTAATTACCAGCATGGTAGAATTTTGAAATTGATAGTCGTGGCGAATGAATTATTTATATATGTCTGTGTTGATCAGTTTAACAATATAGGGATACCTTTATGCTATTATTTCTATTCAGAGTGTTGTTTTGACTTGACTCCGTGAAGGGTGGGTGACTAATCCGTACTTTATCATTTAGGTGTAACCGAATCCAGGTCCGGTAGAAGAACAGATGTGAACCCCTTCTTGGCTCCTCGCTCTGCAGCCGTGCCTCTTATTAACCCAGCTGGGCTTGGACCTGGTGGGCCCGGGCATCTTCTTTTGAAACCCATCTCGGACGTTTTGCCCACATTTACACCTTTGCCTGTGTCGCCTGACAACAGTGCTGGAGTTGTGTTGAAGGACCTTTTAAAACAATAAATAATATTCAAGCCACAGATGATGTAGCACTTTAAAGAAACCATGAACATTATGTGTATATATTTTTTCACAAAGTGGCCTTTTGGAAGAAGTCATGTATTTGTTTGCAGTTGTATTTTCTTTAAATTTAATAAAAAATACTTTAACGCTTTTAGGAATTGCAAGGATCAAGGATATAATCTTCTCTTTCCTTCTCTGATTTGACTGAATATAAGCTAGGAACATTTAATTTATCTTCACTTACAAAACTAAAAAAATAGAAGAGGGAACCAGCAGTTAGTGTAATGGCTATGTCGCTGGATTCCCACGTAGTTGACTGCGGTTCGCGTCCCGGACCCGGTGGCTTAGAACTCACGCCGGGCGCATGTGCGTGCGTGCCCAAGATCCCGAGAGGAGAATGGAGGAGAAGGGATTGCGGCGTGACTGTCCCCCCTGGGGGGTGATTTCTTGCTTTCTGTCTCTATGTCTCTCTCTGTCTGTCTGGCGAGCGCATGCGCCCTATAGCGAAAACCTCTCAAAAAAAAAAAAATAGAAGACAAAAATAATAGTAGTTATATACAGGCTTATTTCCTTCTCTGATTTTTCAAGCTCATTTAAGCTAGACATATGTGGCTTATCTTTTAGAGATAATCAAAAGATTTATTTTTAAAAAATATGAGTAGTGGCTTCTACAGAAAATCTGTCTGAAACATATGTTACTCATTTTTAGAGGATGTTATGTAAACAGAGCAGGGTTGTCCTGGAGGCTATAGGTGCCCTGAGATGGAATGCGTGTTGTTTCTGTACATTTTTATCACATGTGTAGATTTGTGTGACCACCACAGTTAAGATTCAGAGCACTGGGACCAGCAGATGGCTTAATGGTTACATCATTGGACTCCCATGTAGTCAATCACAGTTCAAGTCCTGGACCTGTCACACTAGGCACACGTGTGTGCATGTTGTGCCCAAAATCCCAAGAGGAGAATGGAACAGAAGGAACTGTGGCATGGCCATTCCCCCGGGGGATGATTTCTTTCTTTCTGTCTGTCTGTCTCCATCTCTCCAGTGAGTGCACACACCCTATAGCAAAAATCTCTCTTAAAAAAAAAAAAAAAAGATTCAGAGTACTTCTATCAGAAGGAGTTTCTTGGTGCTCTTTTATAATCATAACCACCTCTCTCCCTAACCCCTGCCTTAATCCCAGACAACACTCACTTTTCCCCATCGCTATTGTTTTGTTGTTTTTGAGACTGCTCTGTAAATGGAATCACAATATATACCCTCTGGAGACTGGCTTTATTCACTCAGTATAGTGCCCTCAAGACCTGGCCAAGTTGTTGCTTGTATCAATAGTTTGATCCTTTTTATCATCCGGTATAGAGTCTGACTATAACAGTTGTAAGTGCTAAGGTATCTATTTAATGGCGTCATAAAACTAAATGCTTCTCACACAAATACACACAACTTCATAGAAGTGTCAAACTGTACAGCAGCGTCTATATAACTTGTCCGCAGTTGCTCTAAACATGCCACCTCCTGCCTCTGAGGCTTTGATATGAGGTGCTGCAGCCCGAGAGTCATCTGCTCCCATCATGGCGGTCTTTGAGGGCAGTAATGTCACTGACAGTATCGGCACCATGCGTTCAGAACTTGAGTATCACAGAGTACTTTTTATAAATCCAGCATAAAAATATCCTGATTTGAGACTGTATCAGGATGTTCATGTTTGTATTAGTGTTGAAGTTGTACATTTTAAAAGATTTCTTGCAAATTTTGTAAATTTCAATATCCCTATAAAATAGAAACATTTGTGTAACAAGGAAAGGTGAGAGGGAGACGAATCCAGATATGTAAATAGGCCTGGCTAGGGCCCGAGCTAAATTTCGGGTTGTAAATTTTGCTGTGCTTAACCGTATATTTTCTATGTATTTGGAAAACTGGAAGTTTTAATTATGAGTTGATGGGTAAAATTTGCTTTTCTGAAAATTATCTGAGATAATGCTGCTTCTAAACGTCACCTGTCTCTTTAGCTAACTTATTTATATTGCCATTCTTTATTTAGTACACTTTAAAGGAAATTGTCATACAAGTTCTATATTAGAACTATCAAACTGCCTCCTGTTGGTTCTACCATTATTGTTTTTCTATGACATAACTCTTAGTGTTTTATATGTTCCTTACAAGAATACTTTAACTGTCCTAAATTGTTTGGTTCTTACCATCAAAGTGTGTGGGATACTCAAACACTGGTTTCTGAGCTTAAAAAAAAAAAAAAAAAAAAAAGATACATGGTCCTTCATTTTGATGCAATAGGAAATACAAAAATGTTGTACCTTTGGATTTGTTGAGAAGATACACAGCAGGTATTTAAGTAGTGTCTCATCACATCTGAAATGCCTTTTATGACACTTTGAGCATTTTGAGAATCTTTTTCCCTGATCAAAACAAGCTGTTTCCCCTCACACCATAGTTGAACATAATTTTGAAAGCTGTTATGGGTGGATTTCACATCTACACATCACAGAGCACGATATTACATGGTCGCTGGTCAAATAGCATGTGTCCGTGTTCTGAAGCTTTAGTACCGAATGTTTTCGTGTATTGTTGAAACTACAGCTGACTGGTATGCATACTAAGTGCTCATTGATCAAAACCAGATATAGCTATAACTCATGGACTTTTCTCAAATTAAGTTGTGTCAGAGATGAACCATCTGCTGAAGGAATCTTCATAGTAACCAGTGATGAAGCAAATAATTCTAATGTTTAGCAATAGCATATTGCTAACAGTGCATATACTGTAGTATTTTAACTACAGACATTTTACTGTTTATTTCTCTATAAACTGAGTAGAATTTGTGGTTGAATTCCGCCTAAGCTGCCACAGTTTTTCACAACATTCCTAATGGTTTTCTACTATAGTAAGTAGAATATTCATCCAGCCATTGAATTTGATTTTAATATACTACTGCATCTCATGATTTTTAGTTCCTGCTATTCCTGATTTAAAAGGAAAAAAAGGAAAGGCGAAAACTCAACAAAACCATAGGAAAAAAGGAATGGCTTTCTTGCAACTAGCCTATTAAAACGTTAAATATCCTTCCTACCCCAAATAAACCTTCAGTTTTTTTTAAACTCTAATGGTTAATCAAGAGAGGCAAAAAGATGGTTAAAATACTATCCCGTCTGTACCTAGGAGATACACTGTCTTCGGGGCGGGGGGAGTGAGGAGTATTGGGAGAAAGTGTTATTATGCATTTAAAGCATTTGAATTTGAGTTGGAAAGCTAGTGAAGTTTTTCATATATCAAAGTGTTTAAAACATCTTCCGTCAACCAAAGTTTATTTTTAATTTTGTGACTATCAAGCATAGGTGATATTTATCTTATATATCCCTATGGAAAAGATCATGGTACTTAGGGTGTTCTGATTCTTGGGAGTATTTACCAGTCTTTTTAACTTATTAAGGTTTATCTATTTAAAGCTGATAAATCATCTTGTAATTTAGGGAAATATCTAAATGTGGGAAATGCCCACCCAACCTTAATATTAGGTTGTGTTTTATAGAGCTAAAATCAATGCAGTTTTGAATTTCTCAGGAGCACTACAAGGCAAAAAAAAACACAAAACCCTCCAAATAAAAATGATATATGTAAATTGGCAATGTCTTCATCCACAATAAAAAATTTTTTTTAAGCAAACAGCTGCTGACTTTTCCTTTAGAAGGGGGAGAGATGACTTACACATGTTGTTTATAGCAGCAGTTGACGAACTACTGAAGTGAATGTCTTGGCATGTTTACCGGATGTCTGCTGTGAGGATACTATGTGAATTCTGGAAATTTCAAGTATGTACAATTTAAAAGATGCTCAAGATTATGTACGTAAAAGGATTTGAGAGGTTTTAGCCAGGATTTTTTCCTTTTTCTTCAAAGATGGTATTACGCATCGTTGGCCTCTTGGTCTTTCTGTGAGATCATGAGTATGTCTTCATTTTTTCTTACATGTGGCACTTTAGTATTCTGAACTGTTCATATGATGGCAAAATTAATGTTGCCTTTCTTTTTTTTTTAATTTGCCGAAGGGCGTGTGCTCCTGCCAGGATGGGAGGGAGGGAGAGAGAGCATCCCTGCCAGTGAGACGTAGTCACATCCAATGCCTTCTCCATTTTGCCATTCTGTGAGAATCTGGGACATGTATGCTCACTCACCCAGTATATTTTTCAAGTCATCAAGATTGAGATTTGAACCACAGTTGGCCATGTGGGATCCACGGCTCTTAACCACTAAGCTACAGGGCTTGCCCAGAACATGGCTTTTAAAATTTACAGCTGGATCGAAGTACTAACTGTGACCCTTTTCCATATAACCTTTAACAAAATTATTTTGACTGTTGGCCTATTTTTGTCTTTTCCAAGATGAAGTGACACCCACCTAGTAAACCTTATGGAATTGTAAGGATCAAATGACACATTCATAATGTTTATTAAGTGAATAAATGATGAATGTACCACTTGTGGAAACATTTTCGAAAGTCTGCTTCTATACGGGTATTAGAAATGGTTATTACTGCCAAAGTAATAGTGTGAGGGGTGGGTGTGTTAATAAAGTCAAGGGTTATTTCCAGAAAGTAAGGAGAGGTCAGAAGCATGAAGGGCTTGCTGAGAGGGCTGGTGGGAGTTTTGGATTTGGGGATCAGAAGTGGTTGTTGGGATCTAGAGCTAGAGCAGTGTTGGTGGGATGGTGGGAACAAAAGCCAGGTTGTCCAGTGGGTGATGAGCAGCTGGAAATAGTGTCCGTCTCAACTGCTGAGAAACCAGATTGCAAAGGGGATAGAGAATTAGGGAAGTGGGGTAAGCTGAGACGAGTTTGTGTAAATGCTCATGGGAAGGATGTCATTTAGATGGAGGAAGTGAAGAGAGGCACTTTTGAGAAGGGGGAATAGGTATGAGGGTCTTAAAGAAGTCTGGAAAATGACTATAAAAAGCTATGGAGGGGACCAGCAGTTACCGTAATGGCTATGTCGCTGGACTCCCATGTAGTTGACCGCGGTTCGAGTCCTGGACCCAGTGGCTTAAACTCACGCGGGGCGCATGTGCATGCATGCCCAAGATCCTGAGAGGAGAATGGAGGAGAAGGGATTGCGGTGTGGCCATCCCCCCTGGGGGGTGATTTCTCGCTTTCCGTCTCTCTGTC